TAGTTTTTCACTCCAGAGAAACTTCAGTATTTACACATGTCCTATTTATTTCATTATTTTTTTCCTATTTATTTCACTTAAGAGTATGGCCTCTACGTGCATGCATTTAGCTATAAATGTCTCTAATTTCTTATTCTTTTTGGCTGAGCAGTACTCCATTTTATTTATCTTTTTGGGGGGTGTACCAGGGTTGGAACTCAGGACCTCGCACTTGCAAGGCAGGTGGTAGAACCACTGAGCTAAATTCCTGGCCCTATTTATTTATTTTACAACATCTTCTTTATTCAGTCTCCAGTTAGTGGGCAGGTGGGCTGTTTCTAGGTTTTGGCTATTACAAACTGGGCTGCTATGAACATGGGTACACATATAATGCTGTGGTATGGTTCTTTTAATTTTGGGGGGAAGATACCCAAGCCCTCATCATTTTAAACTAAGGCCTTCTGATTCAACTTTCCTACCTTTTGTTTCCTTCCCTTTTATTTTATCAGCTCAGGGATCTTTTTAAAATATAATTCTGAATTGCCACTCCCATTCCTTATAGATATCAGCATATCCCTGTTGATTCTTAAGTTTAAGTGTGGCTTATTAGGGCCATGATTACCACATCATCTCCTCTCTGCTATAATGTATAAAATTACTTGGATCTCTAAGAGTCCAGAGTCTGTCTTTCCACTCTTTCTGCTACCTGGAAAATCTTCCAGTGACTATAAAGTGATCCTCCAGCATGTGGCCCAGAACTTACTTTCTCAATGCTACCACCCTGATCCCCTCAAACAACATAGTATACTCTCTTTCCAGTGCTTTCTTACACAATTGAAGAGATTATGTTAAGAAATAATAGTGTTTAATGCTATTATGGTTACTGTATATAGGCTTAAGTAAAGGCTTTTATTTTCTAATGTAAATATAAAATTTACAAATGTATAAAGTAGTCAAATATTTACTGAAATATTTATTAACTTAATTATGCATAAATGCTTAAAATAATGTATTATACAAAATAATGTTTTAATTTTGAAATATTATTTCTCATTCTTAGAATTTTTTCCCCTCATTGGGTTTATTGGTACAATCTAGGTATACAGTACAGTTACATTCATTATTGGGATCTTGTACCTTTACATGACAGGTCTTGGTTCTCATTTTTTCCCCTTGTCCCTGCCCTCCCTTCACCCCCTCCTCCCCTCCCGATTTACAAACATTTTATTTCCATTCTCACAATTTTATGGAGACTCTTTATGTGAGTTGGTATTGTTTCTCATTAACATGTTTTGAGCATCAAGCACACCAGAGTGCACCATCTTCACATCTATTTGTTTTAGATACAATATTTTTAAAACTTTTGCATAATGCTGTCATTCGAAATTTTTCACAAGCACTAAGAACCTAGTTGACTTAAGACAGCAAGTCTTCTAATCCAGTATATAGATAATATAATCATGACCACCTTAAAGCTAATATTCATAGTATTGGGATTTTGAGGGGTTTTTTGTGGGTTTTTTTGTTTGGTTGGTTGGTTGGTTTGTTGGTTCTTTGGTCCGTTGGTTGGTTGGTTTTTTGAGACAGGGTCTCACTGTGTAGTTGAGACTGACCTGGGACTTACTGTGTAGCCCAGGCTGGTCTTCACAGTGATCCTTCTGCCTCAGCCTCCTGAGTGCCGGGATTATGGTGTGCACCACCACGCCCAACCATAGTATTGTTTTTAAAGTGATCTTTAATATGCTTTTTTCTAAGAAAACCCATGTTTTGCATTTTGCAGACTCCCAGAAATAATGACTAAGTCTGTTAAATTTATTTGCCCCCTTTTTTTTTTTTTTTTTTTTAGTAATCCTGTTACATGAGCTTTTGAAGTATCCAAACTCAACTACTGTTCTCTTTCCAAAACAATACAATATTGTTCAAAAAAAATTTTTTTTTAACTTCCACTTCCTGTAGTGGTGAACTGAGTCACTCAAAAAATATTTTTTTTTGTTTTAGATAGGATCTTCCGTTGTAATTTCAACTGGTCTTGAACTCTCTTTGCATTGCCGGCTGTCCCTGAACTCACAGTGATCCTCCTACCTCAGCCTCCTGAATGTTGAGATTGCAAGTGTATAGCACCATGCTTCAGAGTCAAGAAATTTGATTCTTCTTTTCAAATCTTTGTCCAAGACAGATGCATGGCCAAGCCTGAAGCCTAAGGCACAGGCACAGGGAAATTTTATCTTCTCACAATAAAGAGCTACCAGTATTTCAAGCAGTAATAAAATCCAGGGGCTCTGATCTACTGGTGCTCTCAACAACTTAAGAAAGTAAATATTCTCTTTGGAGGCTGTCCTTACTTTAGACCTCACATAACTCTACAAATGTCCAACAAAGAATTAGACATGTGAGGAGACAAGAAACTATGAATAACAGCTAGAAGAAATAATAGACAATACAGACAGACCTACAGGAGCTCCAACCATTGGGCTTATCAGAAACAAACTATAAAGGAACTATAGTATTCAAAGATATAAAAGTCAAGCTTTGATTTCAGCTGGGAGCAATAAGGAGTGAAATAACATATATGGAGTTGAACCATGTTGGAATTCAAGAACTAAGGTTTATAACAACCAAAATTATGAATTTGTTGAATGGTTTAGCCTTAGACTAGACACACTTGAACAGTGAATTGTCAAAGTAAAAGACAAATCAGAAGAAAATAATCAAAACACAATGTAGAAAATATAGAAAAGATAGGAAACACAGAAGAGAAAAATAAGAGATAAAGAGAATATAATTGAAGTATAGTCATTGAACTCCCAGAAAAATGATAAAAAAATAGTCAATAGTTGAAATTACCAGTGCTTATGAAAAATGACTCAGATTTAAGGGTCCTAAATAATTCTGGGAATGAAGTATTTTTTAAAATCCTTACCTAGACACATCATGGTGAAACTGTAGAATAATGTATAGAAACAGATAAAGCAACTAGAGCAAGAAAGTAAATTTTATTCAGAGTAGTGATAGACTGAGAGAAAACTTCTCACATAATAAGAGCAGAGATTCTGTACAAAAATGCCAAGCAGGAAAAATACCTCCTGTAAATGAAAGTGAAGTAAAAGATATTTTCAAGTCAACAAAAATAGGTTCATACCAAAGAGAATTTCTAAAGGTTGCTCTTAAAATACAAGGAATGGAGATCAAAGAGCATAATATATGAATAAATCTAAATGAATGCTGGTTATATAAAACAATAATAATGTCTTATTTGAATATATGTAAATATCTACATTTATTCTGTTGTAGTACATTATAAAATTGCATACCAGTTGAGGGTGAATGGACTTAAAATATTCTAAACTCTTTACAATGTGAAGGAGGAAGAAAGCTATTAATTTACATTAGACTTTTATAAGCAAAGATGGCATATAACCCTCGACTTTTAAAAAAACGATAAATAAGAAAGCTCCTAGAGGACCAGGATTTAGCCTCATGGTTCCACTGCCTGCCTCTCAAGCATAAGGTCCCGAGTTCAATCCCCAGTGCCTAAATAAATAGCAAAGCCCTAGAAAATAGAGCAGTATCTTTGTGACCATGGTCTAGGAAAGTATTTTTAAATCAGATACAAAAAGCATTGATCACAAAGGAAAGAATTGATGAATTGATTACACTAAAAGTAGCAACTATTTTCACCTGTATAATAATAAAACAGTGCAAAAGTGCAGTACAGAGTTAGAAAATATGTTTTTAACATGTATAACCAATAAAGGACTCATATCCATATCTACAAGTCAGTGAGAAAGACTCTTAATCCAGTAGGAAATTGAGCAAGAGATTTGAACAAAGTATTCCCAAGGAGGAGATCAAAATTGCCTCAAACCTATGATAGTTTATTCCATTTCATACATCAGAGAAATGCATGTTGACACCATGGTGAGACACCACTGCACACCTACACAATAGTTTAAATTAGAAAGGCTAATACCAACTGATGATGAGGATGTGGAGTAACAGGAATTCTACCGCCTGGTAGAATAACAACTACGCTAGTCATTTTGGGAAAAAGTCAGGTGTATACTGTGAGCAGCAGTTCCATTCATGTATATGTGGCCCAGCAAAATTGTGCTTATAGAAACATAGTTAACTATAGCCCAAAAGTAAAAATAAGTCACATCAGTAGTTAAAGAGATCAGTTATGATGTATTCTGACAATGAATATTCAGCAGCGACCTACTATGCTAAGAAAACATGAATGAATTTCACTGAGGAAAGGAAGCAAGACAAAAATCATACACTGTAGTTAAAGAGATCAGTTATGATGTATTCTGACAATGAATATTCAGCAGCGACCTACTATGCTTTTTAACATGAATGAATTTCACTGAGGAAAGGAAGCAAGACAAAAATCATACATGCTGTAAGATTCCATTTATGTAAATTATAAAATAGGACAAAACTAATACATGACATTAGAAATCAAAATAATGGAAATAAGTTTGAGAGGGAAGAAGGGTGGTTGGGAAGGCACAAGGGTGCTCATAAGGAACTATTTTCATCCAAGGTATATTCAACTTTTGATCATCCATCTAACTGTACACTTCTGGTCTATGTATTTTTCTGTATATACTTTTGCTTCAATTAAAACAATTATTTAAAGCATAAAAGTAATTCTGAGGGACCCTAATGATCTATGAGATTTATAAGGGCTCAAATATAAAGTGATGTCCTCCTTAAGATTAAAGAAATTATTTTACTGGGAATATGCAGTAACTCTTAATTAGTATACTTTTGACATACATAATGGTTGAATTCATCATTGTACCTGTACATAATTCATTTTGGGGGGGGTCACCATTCCCTTCCCTCCCCTTCAATCCTGGGCCTCTGTGACCTGTTTCTTTCCTCTGATAAATTCTGAACTCCTTGGGAGCTGGGCCCATTTTTCTCATCCCTGCCTGACCGAGCGGCCTGAAACCGAGTATGTGAAGGATTGATGAAATTATGTACTAACATGAAAAATGCATTCCTTTTCCTAGGTCAAGAAAACAACAGAAGCCACCTTGCAGACAATACAAGATATGGTGACCATCGAGGACTATGATGTGTCTGAGTGCTTCCAGCACAGCCGTTCCACAGAATCTGTGAAGTCCACCGTCTCTGAGACCTACCTGAGTAAGCCCAGCATCGCCAAGAGAAGAGCAAACCAGCAGGAAACCGAGCAGTTCTACTTCATGGTGCGCCATTGCTCCCCAGGCCACTCCTGACAGAAATCAGATCTGAGCTTCCCCAATGCTGCTTGTGCAGCTGCCTTGACATGAGCAGAGTGGTTGGTTGAAATGTGGACTCCTGGCCCCCTTGGAGTTTCTGATTTAGTCAGTCTGGATAAAGTTAGGAGTTAGTTGAGGGTTAGAAATGCTCTAAAATAGGACTTTTAAATTTTTAATGTACATACACATCAGTACCTGAGAGCTTGTTAAAAATGTAGGTTCTGTTTGCCATAGGTCAGGTGAGAAAAGGGATCCTCAGCACTGTACCTCGGAGGCTCACAAGTGATGGCTGATGCTGCTGGACTATAGATACGGCTTGGGCACCCAAATTCTAGGATCTAGAAGATAAAAGTGGCGAGACTTCAGATCTTGTATGAGAAATTCTTGAACACTGAATTTTTTTAAAGTATAAATTGATCTTGCCTTTTGCAGAAACTCAGAGAATATTTGGAAGGCAGTAATCTCATCACAAAACTTCAAGCCAAACATGACTTGCTGCAAAAGACTCTTGGAGAAGGTCAGTCATTTGGAATAGATGAAAAGATGATCTGGATTGTACAGTGTGTCATGAACACACTCCGTTAAGAGTATGAGGCGTATGTTTGTGACTTAAGCAGAAGCACTACATGTTTAGATTTGGGTTTTTGTATGTTTGTTTGTTTGGGTTTTTTGGTACCAGGGATTGAACTCAGGACCTTGAACTTGCAAGGCAGGTGTGGTGCCACTGAGCTAAATCCCCAGCCCTAGACTTGGTTTTATCTGTGTCTGCAGTAATGATGTTTTCCCCCTGGAACTATTTTCTTTTTAGACATGGTAGTAAACTTGAGGAAGCATAGTAAATCTTGGGAGGGCTGAGGAACAACACCATGAAGAATCTTTTGAGCGTAGCACTCCTAAGAGGAAGAGAATCTGGAGGAGCTGCCCCTGCTTCCATGTTTGGACCCAGACATTTTTTTCCTTCTCTTCTTGCACTTCACCCTTCCTTACCACTCCTGTTTGTTTTAATGGGCTGGTATTTGTTGTTTCCTCTTTTGCCTTTTTGAACTCTAGAAACCAACTAAACCAGTTTGGATGCTTTTTTCTTTCTTTTTCTTTTTCTTTTTTTTTTTTCTTTTCATTAGACGTTAGTTGAGAAATAAGCCAATAGTATAATATACAGAATGCAGCATCTAATAATAAAAACAATAGCAAGAGATAATACTTATGTAAGATTTTCTCTATGCCAGGCATTGCTCTGAGCTATATTCTTAAGGGGGCACTATTCCCTTATTTTTATAAACGAGGAAACTGAGGGGATAATGGACTGTAGGCAAAGGGATTATATAAATGCTATTGTTTCTTTTTTAGTCTTCATGAATTTAAAAGGGAAAACATATAGGCAAAGTCCCTGTCTTAAGTGCCTCTGAGTCTACAGTTTTAATTGTACTTTATTCATACTAAGTCCTGCTGGAAGTTACAGATAAATGAAAGAAAATACAAAAGAGGTGGGAAATGAGGTGTGAGTTACTCAGGTCAAAAAAAGACTGCCACTATCATACCTAAACTCTTGGCCTCCTGTCATTCTGGAATCTTCCTTGTCTACAAGACATAGTTTCCAATACCTGTCTTACGGTTTTCCTGTAAAGCATCTGTCATCCTTGGAGAATTTGACCACATGGAAAAAAGTTAGCATCACTTAAGGCTCCATGTCTTACATAGTTAAGATGGCAGACACCAAGCTAAAAGACCAATTTTACCTAAGAAGAAAAAATATTCATGACAGGGCCATAATTCATGTCTCTCACTGCTGGGTAGCTCTGAACCACCGGTAGTATGTACATGACTGTCTCATCAGGTGTCATGGGACAGTCTCATCCAATGGTACAAGCCAGTCGGAATGTGTTAAACTACTAAAACTTGTGTAAACAAATAAAATAACCAGAGGCAATGTATGAATCTTCATTAAATTCTGAATCAAAAAACAAATTATGAAAAATATCTTTTTCATAATAGAAAATGTTAAATATAGACTATACTAAATGATATTAGTTGCATAATGTTAATTTTCCTATGTATGATTACAGTACTACAGTTATAAAGAATGTTCCCTGAGGGCCGGGGATTTAGCTCAGCGGTTCCGCTGCCTGCCTTGCAAGAGCAAGGACCTGAGTTCAGTCCCCAGTACCAAAAAAAAAAAAAGAATGCTCCCTGAAAGGTCATAATGTCTGTAGCTTACTTTCACATGATTCTGAGGGGGAAAAAGACACATATGGAGAAATAAAGCCAATTTCATAAGTATTAACAATTGAGAAATCTAAATGAACAGTATAAAGATGTTCCTTGTACTATTCTTTCATATGTTCTATAGATTTGAGGTTTTGTTTTTTGTTTTGTTTTGTTTTGTTTTAACAAAAGAAGCCTTTTTATCTTTGAATATTTTTCTCACTTGATAAATTGGTTCCCCTTTTTTTCTTTTTCCCTCATAGTATCATGTAAATTCTTCCCCCCTCCTTTTTTCACAAGTGCCTCATGTTTCAAATAGTGCCCTCAAGGTCAGTTGCCAGCCTCAAAGTATAAATTACCCTAAGTGTAGAAGAATGCTTACAGGCACAAAATCTTTCCCTACAAGAGTGGATACCACTTTAGAAATTATGAGTTTGCAAGGATTAAGTAAGGGGTGCATTCAGTCTTGGTGATGTGTGCAGATGTGTGTAAGTGTGGCTTGGAGCCATGTTCTGAGACTTTTATGGTACTCGCACAACATAAATTCTCTTATGCCTCTTAGAAAGCCCCACCAGTTAATGTTATGTTACATGTTATTCTTGGATAGTGCCACATTTTGGCCAATTGGCTGAATTTCAGATTCTGTCTTTCACTCTTGCCCTATATTATACCTTGTAAACCCTGAGCCTGGATTCCTTTATCTTGTGATTTCTTTCACTGAGTTCCCAGTGTGCTAGTGACCCAGCTGTGTTCAGGTGCTCAAGACCTGCACTGGTCTCAACGTTTATTCTGCATCAGGAACTGAATGGCTTTCACCTGGTGGCAGCAGTGCACACTGGCCCCTGGCCCCTGGTTACAGACCCCTCTGCTCCCCAGCCCTGGCCCTCTTGCAGGCTTGGCAGCACACCAGTTGGTGGTCACTGCCTGGGTTTGATACTCAGAGAGAAGTTGAGCATGGGAGACAATGCCCTACCTTTTAGTTTGATCACTGTGAGCCTGCTGGCTTTCCACACAAGCCCTATTTGCATTAATAGGCTTACACCAAAGGAGACTAGGAGAGTTAATGGCTCCTGGCCCATGGTGAAGTAATCCACTGGTGAGCCCTTAGGAAAGAATCCAAGCCCCTATTTAGTTAAATAAGATTAGTAGTACAGGACTTAATGGCGTGTTTAGGGACAGTCGTGAGTTTTTAGGTAGAAATCACCTCACTAAATAATATTAGACTCACTGCTGCACAAACTACCTTCACAGTAAAACAAACAGAGCCTAACCCAGGGATTTAGCAGTTGATCGTACACAGCTGAAACTGTAACTACAGACATGTGTTTGGCCTGTCTTACTGCTCGCTTTTTGGCAGGCTACCAGCGGCTCAGTAAGTTCTTTGATTTACAGCATTGTGAAGCAGCTACATCAGGCTCTTAAAGTGGCACTGTCAAAATTCGGAATTTTAAGTCTTTGAAAATTATTAAAACAAACACAGAATGAACTGTTAAACCATACTCATCATGGTCATCTTCATCCCTCCCCAATGCCGTATATTTTTGTGCAGTGTCACTTATTTTTAAATTGAGGTTAAACTAACCCAGTAAATGAGAGATATATCCGTAACCCTGGGGCATGGTAAGGTATTTTTCATTTTCAGTAATGAGCCTAATGTTCATACTGGCTTCTTTGTATGCACCATTTGGAGTTAAGAGGGTGTAAATTTCTGTGTAATTTTGCTAAACACAGAAAATCTGACAGTGGAAGCTGAGCTCCATATTACATTATTTCTTGCCCTGGGCGTGAAGTTTCTGACAAAGGAATTAAATAGGTTATCTTCACACAACCCTTTGTCTGTCTTTGAGTAGAGTACAAATATACTTTCTAAAGAGAAGCTGATTGTGAATAATTATTTCTTTTTAGAAAAGCACCGCAGTGGTTTGTATTCTTAAGGAAGAGAAAGGGCTGGAAAGTGAGCCTCATAGGTCATTCATTAGGGAACAACTCCACAGTATCAGTGTCTAGTTGGAGCTATATTTGTATTTTAAATACTTTCACTAGCTTTTTTTTTCTCAAGTTGCCCCCAAACTTATTTTGATTATTTTATATAGAGATAAAATACATTTAGGTGCAAAAAATAACACGTCGTAATTTTCAAGTAAAATAAAGTAGTTGAGGCTGATGTACCAAGAGTAAGTTCATCTTGGGTCACTTTCCTCCAAATGGCTTACATGTATGTGTGTATGAGGGAGGATCTGTCATTTTTAATAATTAAGTAGGCTCTCAAAGAAAGTGATTCAAATCTAATCCTCAGACCTTTTACATTTCTCTGGGAAGGAGAGTCATCTAAGCTTGTGTGTTATTGATCTATTAATGATCATACTGATTAAAAAATAAAGCCTCATTTGTCAGTTGAGACAAACACAGGACTGTTAACTGAAAAAATACTGGGTGTGGTAGTGTAGTTGTGCTGAGAGTGAGAATACTTGCAAAGCTTGCTCTCCATTCATTATTCAAAATGTATCTTTTATAGGTTTTTTAATTTTTTTATACTACTAACCATGAATGGAATAAAATTATTTAAAAGCAACTTAAGAATCTTTTTCTAAATCTAGGGAATAATTGGTTGAGATTTTTAAAAAACAAAAATAGTGCAATTTCTGGGCCAGGGATTTACCTCAGTGGTTCCACTGCCTGCCTTGAAAGCACAAGGACCCAAGTTCAATCCCAGGTACCCCCCCAAAAAAGTACATTTTCCAATTTATAAAATTTCATTCCTAAGAATTATTAGCATCATTAGCATTGAATCACTTGAAAACAATGAACCTGTTATTCATTTAAATGTACAGATATTTGATAATTTACATATTCATGTAATTTATTAGACTTATTAAAGTCTTTGGTATTTTGTATTTGGCTTTAGTCACATGAGGCACACAGAAGTTTAAGCCATATATCTATCTTCTAGGACCATTCAAAGTATTTTCTGGGGAAAATGACTTTCTATTTTTAAAGGTAATACAATGTAGAGCTTGGGAACACAGGTCTGGAATTATAACAGACCTGGACCCTAGTGCCTGTCCCAAGCTAGTATCATGGCCTTGGGCAAGTCATTTTTCTGTATTCTCATTCTCTTCTGTAAAATAAAAACAATAATAGAAGCTACTTCATTAGGTGATTATGAAAATTATGAGTAAAATATTTAACATACCATTCAGAACACTTTAGAGCACTTATTACCTAATTAAAGCTTAGAATATTGTCTAATAAGTATTAAATATTATTGCTGTTTTTATTGTTGTTACTAGTGTATATTAGATGAGCCTTAATAAAATGTGCAACATGACAATACAATACAAAGACAGTTTCTTTACCAACTCTGGTCATTTTACTAGGTCTCCCTGAGTGACCTCTGCCAGCTCCCAACAAAACCTAAATGGTAAAGACGCTCAGATCTTTATCTCAAGTGTGGTCTTTTCTCTGTGCCTTAACCCTGTCTAGCCAGCTTCCTGCTGGGCACTTCATTAGAATATCTTTAAGGCCCCCACACCATGCTGAGCTCACTGTCTGTCCCTCTGCTTTCTAGTAGACTTTTTTCTCATTCATGAATAACTACATAATTGTCTAGAGTTCTGTATACACTTTTTATGTAGCAGAAGGACATCAAAAGGAAGGGACCTGTAGTTAAATGATAGGCAGGGCTGCATAGAAGAGAGGGAATCAGGTTCCCCTTTCCCCACATCCCCACTCCAACTCTGGCCAGGAACTGATTCTGTCAACATGTACAGTGGCCTGGACTAGGTTGAGAAAGGTATTCTCTGATATTACCTGTTGTCCCTGCTTTAATAATACTAATCAAATACCTTATGCTACTTGTTCTTCAAAAGTAAATAAAATGAAAGCCTCTGAGGCAGCCTGGGAGTATTCATTCACTGTTCCCCCACAAGCCAGTTTACCCTTTGATTGTTATGCTGGTCTTGCCCTGTAAGACTGAATCTCTCTGTTCTGATACATTGGCTGGGCTCACATATTTGTGCTGCCACGTGACATTCCACTATCAGCTATATTTTCAAGCTCTTTCAAGACTATACCATCATTTTGCAAATGAAGCTGAATAGTTCAAGTCTCCCACACTTCTTCTCATTGCTCCACCCTGAATGTAAGAAAGAGCAGACAGCAGCCAGCAACACATGCAAACTTAAAATTAGTGCAGATTGTGAAAGTGCTATAAAAATTCAGCCCTGTTATTTAAAGCAACTCAAGAAGCCCAAATGTATAAAAGCAGCCATGTTTTAAATGACAGAATTCTATGAAAGGCTTTTAGCTTACAAGTTGCTGGCATACAGTATCATTTAACGTCCTTGTACGTTATTATCTGCAAATGTCATTTCTGATTATGGAATACAGCTTCTCTCCCAGTCCCCTGATTTCATATCACAGGAAGAATACCAATTTAGTCTAAGGGAAAATGAATTCTCTCAACCCTATTTGACCTCCTGCTCCTCCCTGAGAAGCATCAGTGAAGACAGAAAGAATAACTAACATATAAATCTGGGATCTGTTTCATTTGCATTTTGTGTTTGAACTAAGTGACGATCAAGAAACTGTCTAGTTTGTTTTTAAAAACTACCTTCCCAAATTGTCCCATGAAACATGCTTCTCTAATTATAGAATTCATTAAATTTTATGAATAAATTTTATGAAATATTGACTGAATTATTTCTGTATCTTCATATACTATTCTCATGTTTACCACCATAAAATGTGCAAGTTATTATAAACTCAGCATCCTAAAATAAGAAACATGATACAAAAGATTACTAAATGTACTGCACTGATTCCATTCAACTTACTTATTTAAATTTTTTGGTTTTTGCAGGTCACAAAGCTGAATATATGAGTACAAGGTAGGAAGATATTTTGTCATATTTCATAGTCTTTTCTCTTTAACAATGAAAAACCATTTTAATGCTACAGAAATGAACATGCTCTGTTAATGAGCATGGAACATGGTTTGAGCTTGACAAAGCATAACTCCATGAAATGCTTGTGGTCCTTACCACATCAGATATGCTATGCTATATCAAAGAGAATTGTAAAGCTGTTTAATAAGCAGTCCATAACAAAGACCTAAGGTAAACAGGCTTGTTTTATCTAATCCAAAGCACATTAAATCTTTAGAAATAGCCTGATAGGACTTTTGCTTTGATAATTTACTCAACAAACAGGAGGTATATAGCTACTGCTTTAGTATTAGAAATAGTTACAGTATGTTCTACTTTGTCTTATGCATGTCACTCATAAAAATTAAAACTACATTAAATAATCTTAGGATTTAAGGTATCTACCACTTCTTATTTCACTTTTAAAATTTAACTTTTAGCACCAAAAATAATATTGCACATTTTTTTAACCACTAATAGAAGCCTTTTTAAGTCACTGCTGAGAAAGAAAAGCCATTTTGGAAGCAGATTCTGATTTGAGCTGGGGAGAATTTGTGGTAGGTGTTATTTTTCTATGACACCATTTGTGCAACATCCAGAAATTGTTCTAGTTGACATAGCAAGCCTTTGAGCTTTTGAAGTTGAGTTGTGTTTAAGGTCAGAGGCATTGACAACTTCAGTACATCTGACAAATTGATTTTCAAGGTTCTATAATATTATCGTTGGGCGGTTTATTCATAAATAAGCCCCTCTTACTTCTTGGTGAATCAACTGGAAATACTGAGCTACTGACTTTTCTAAACTTACCAAACGAAGAAACAACTGAAGTTTTTCTTCACTTTGTCAGTGACAGAGGAATATTACCTCTGAGTAATAATAGGAAGCTTTATGGAGCTTTTTCATATTTAGTGTCTCTTTGCATTGTCAACCATTTTGCCTGTTATTTCTAGAGCATATTTAATATAAGTGACTTTAAAATATTTTTAAAGGGATTCAAGTAGATGAATTTGCAATGAGAATAGTAATTGTCAAGTACTCTGGATATTCACATAACCCTGATAGTGCTTCCTCTCATGAGCCTCTCATACAAGTATCTAAACTACCAGCTAGGTGTGTGGTAGGCACAGAGCCAGAAAGAGTCATGTAGCTAGAATGTTATATGGTCCAGGTTCTGTTAACCTGATGTGGGCACAGTGGAGTCAGAGCCATTGACCCACCAGTGTGCCTAATAACCCACCTCTGTCATGGAAATGACTTTGATAACCACTCAGGCAGCTGTACTCCCAAGCCCCTCTCAACAACTTGTTTCTTCATATTTGTCTCATATTTTAGATCCTTGGAACAGGCAGTTTTCGGGCCTTTGGTAGAAGTATCAAAAACATCCATCCCTCTGATGGTCCCAGCCAATGATTATTCTGTATCTACCAGTCATGCAGGAGCATGACTGTTGGGCCCTGTTACAAGCATATTTTCTAGTTTTGGTATTTGATGTTTTGATCTCTTGGGTTTTAGGAGCCCTGAAGGAACCACCTCTCTTGGGTGAAGCAATTCTTAGAGATAGTAAAGACTAGTTTACAAATACACCTTTTTATCTGTATACTAGCTAATCCAAAGCCCATAATCCCAACTACCTCCTTTGTTATCAAAAACATCCATCCCTCTGATGGTCCCGGCCAATGATTATTCTGTATCTACCAGTCATGCAGGAGCATGACTGTTGGGCCCTGTTATAAGCATATTTTCTAGTTTTGGTATTTGATGTTTTGATCTCTTGGGTTTTAGGAGCCCTGAAGGAACCACCTCTCTTGGGTGAAGCAATTCTTAGAGATAGTAAAGACTAGTTTACAAATACACCTTTTATCTGTATACTAGCTAATCCAAAGCCCATAATCCCAACTACCTCCTTTATCAGCTTCCTATCTGCAGAGCCACTGTTGTGCTTTCCTTTACACCCAGGGCCAGAAAACTAGATAACAGGCAACTAGGAATAGCCCCAGAGCCCACCAAAAATATAAAGTCTAACCAATGCCAAGCCTCCTTCCCTGCCTCTACCATTCCTTCATATTCCCCTTAGTCTCTCTCTCTACCTCCTGGCCAACTCTAGTGGTTCCCCATGTGCTCCTCCCCACCCCCAGCAGAGCAGCAGCGCATATCCCTTCCTTATGGGAGATGTAGCAAACTCTTTTCAATAGCAGTCATATCTTGTCACTGTGCCAGAATAAAAATTTACATTTTAAAAACATAAAAATAATGAAAAAAATGGATGAAATCAACACTGTATTGTTAAACATCTATCACTGAATTTAGTGTGTTAAAGATTTCAAATATTTCAGCTGTAGCAGGACATGACATTCTGTCTGGTTTCCATAGAGTTTTCCATATTCACTTCTAAATAGCTACAAAGACTTCTTTAAAGTTCTCGGGTATCATGGGATTTTAGGTACTACTGGCTGTGTGCCTCATTAATCATATGAGCCCACCTGCTGGGAAATTCTTAAAAATCTATGAAAGGTTATCAGCATGTTTGTCCTCCCCGCCAAACTTTTTGTGACAGGGTCTCAATGTGTAGTTCAGTCTGGACTTAAATTCACTAAGTAGACCAGGCTGGCCTCGAACTCACAGGGATCCTCCAGCCTCAGACTCTCTAATGCTGGCCTTACAAGCATGCGCCACCACGCCCAGCCTCCCCTGCAAGCTCTTGATTGTATCTTTTCAGGCTTCCACATAAATTATTGGGATTTTTGTTTCTAAACTAGACCTTCTGAATTTGAACAAAATGAATGAAAAAGGTATTTCTTCCTAGAGAGTCTATAGCTTACAAAGGGCTTTTTGTAATTTCCAAGTGTGGTATAAGCCTTGTGGTTAAGGAGTTTAAATCGCAACATCTGGAAAGAGGTCTCAGGACTCTCCTTTATGCACTTAGCACAGATGTAGAAATTGAGTCAGGTTCCCTCTCTCTGACTACAGTGCAAGATGGTGCAGAGTTTCCAAATATAGTACATGACGTACTGGATGTGTATAAATCAGAAAGACTGGCTTATCCAACAACCAGACAGGCAGGCAGGCAGGCAGGAGGGAGATGGACAGAGTCCAGAGCACCATAAATAAAGAACAGCCTAATGCTCTACACATACTTAGGTGGTGGGATAGTTTGTTCTACAAAAATAATAGTTCATGTGAGCCACTACCCCTAATGAGAAACAGCATTAAAAACAAACTATTTTTCTCACTTGTGACCCATTAATACTTACTTTTGTACAATATAAAGTCCCACTAACACCTGAGAGATATTAAACAGATGTGATGTTACTTGCCTTGAAAAATTATGTTGTGCCTGAAAATATTACATTTGTTTGATTTTTCCTGTTAGGATCTATACAGAGCCCTAATTTTATGACCATTTGTGCTTTCTATATGACTTATAAACTGAATGACAAGAACCCTGCTTTGTAATATTGGCCAAATAGCTCACAATTCCATTTGATAATGCTTATCATTTTTAAGCATACTAGCAAATGAACAAATGCCAGCTATAACATGTAAGAAAACAGCAGTCTAAATGAATGCTTTGTTACATAACTAAAAATAAATGTGAAGGGGTGGGACTCTTTTCCCCCATGGGCAGGGTGGGGAAGGATCCCAGCATCCCATGTTTTGTAATTTGGATGTGACCTGTGAGTGTTTCGTTTATTGTTTGATATTCAGTAATTATATTCCCTTCCCTTAGGCCTCCAAATGTTCCCCCTAAGCCCCAGAAACACAGGAAGTCCAGACCCCGCTCACAGTATAATGCTAAGTTGTTTAATGGGGATTTGGAAACATTCGTCAAGGTACTGGCACCAGCCATCTGGGTGGCTGATCTCCACGCTTCTCACTATAATGGTCTTAGCCTCTCATGAAATGAGGCAAGTCATTATGTCCAAGTCTGTCCTGGGGCTCTTTGCTTTCCCAGAAAATCAATATAATATTTCCTGAAGTCAGAGAGGAAAGAATATTTGGGTTGAGTGTCTTCAGAAAAGGAAATAAATGTGGATATTATTATATGGGCAGAAAAGAAAGCCTTCTTTATTTTTTTTAGAGCCATAATTTGTACAAAAAGGAAAAAAAAGAGAAATTGTTTTATTTCTACTCATGCAAATGAGATGGCATAAAATATATTTTAAACATTCATTTATTAGTTACTCTCTGAAGCACAGCAAGAGTCTTGATTTCCTGTGACTTTAGGAATTCATTATATTGGATAAATTGGAAGGCCCTGTAGTCTATACCCTGTATCTCTGCTGTGTTTATTCTCTGTCTTCTTTTTCATCCTGTCCTTCTGGTAATGCTTCTAGCCGAGGACGAAGAAACTCGCACACAAGGCATCAGGTACAGTGCAGAGGGAGGTGAGGGCATGGCCTCCTTCACTGCTGATGTCATTTCCAAGTCACACTCATGCTTGGCTTTAATTAGATTTTTGAAGGTCATTAAAAGAAAAATGTTTGCAGTTGGAAATTAGTTTTATAAATAGGCTTTACTTAGAAAGGAATGATAGAAATCAAACATTAATTTCAGAGGAATAGTTTTCCAGTAAAAGCAGATAGATTAAGCTCTTTGTTTTTACATTGTATTTGGCAAATGTATGAAATTTGAATGAAGGGATTTTACAAAGGAAAGTCAATGTTAAATACTAAATACACATTTAACATCAGATTATAGATTCCAATGCTTTTGTTTGTTTGTTTGTTTGGTTTTTTGTTTGTTTGGTTGGTTGGTTTTTGAGACAGGGTCTCACTATATAGTTGAGACTGACCTGGAACTCACTACATAGTCCAGGCTGGTCTCAAACCCACAGTGATCCTCCTGCCTCAGCCTCCTGAGTGCTGGGATTACAGGCATGCGCCGCCATGCCTGGCTCAAATTAAATTTTTTGGGGTGCCAGGGATTGAATTCGGGTCCTTGTGCTTGCAAGGCAGGCCACCGAACTGCTGAGCTAAATCCCCAGCCCTCCAATTAATATTTTTATAAGGGGCTTTCTCCTTCATAGCTCACATTTTATAGCATGGGCTGCAGGGTTCTTGAAGACTAAATTTATTTTTTTTATTACCTCCCTCACTTGGCATCTAATAGACATCTTTCTTTACATGTCTGTTTATTGAATATGTGCACTAATTATTTTAAAATAAGCACTGTAAGCATGTGCACGTATAATATGTATGCATATATACATACATGGAGAGCTCTGGCAGCTGTAAAAATGACTTCTAACTCTGGAATTAAGTGAGAATGACTGGATAACCTAAAATGGCAATCACAAAGCCATTGCCTTGAGCCTTATACCCAAATGAGCCTTCCTGGCTCTAATTTAATAATAAACTATTGTCAAATCTGATTATCTAGCTTCGCAACTCATGGCTTCTAAGCAGGGGCAAATTAGATGGAGAGAAGAAAACAATAAAATGAAAGCAGTGAGATGCGCAGCTATGGCCTTGGGAGAGAAGGAGAACATAGGAAGCTCAGAGAAGCAGGTGTACGGCCATTATTTTGCTAATACAATATGAAAACTGCTGTTTAAGATAGTGGAAAGTATGTCTATTATATTTTTTAAATATTTTTCATTAAGTACAGTTAAAGAAAACTAAGTTGAGGTACTACAGTAGGAATAAAGCAGTTACTATAGAAGATTCACTTATATGAGCGCTTCATCTCCCCAGATGGTGCATGGAGGAATCTTTGATAGTGACAGTAACACAGAAGAGAACATGAGTCTCTTTCTGCACTTCTGAAAAACGCTGTGCAGATGAGATCTCCTCAGTGTCACTGGGAGAGTACCGGTGTAAAGGCTTCTGCCCTGTAAGGAATAGACACACAAAGGTTTGTTTGCACAGGGATGGTGTGCAGCCCATTGTGTTTCACTTGTAAAATATTTTCTACCCAGGCATCTGGCATCCATGAAATTAGATAGACAGACAGACAGACAGACAGACACACACACACACACACACACACACACACACACACACATATACACATACTACTTTTGACTACAAAATTCGCTATACCAGAATGAAATACCAGTCGTACTAAAAGATTAGCAGTCACCTGAGTGATTTTAAAAATATTTTTTAGGGTGGGGGATTTAGCGTGGTGGTTCTGCTGCCTTTCTTGCAAGCACAAGGACCTGAGTTTGATCCCCAGTGCCAAAAAAACAAAATAAAATAATAAAAATATTTTTAAATAGTATGAAAATGTAAGACTTTTATTTAGAGCTTTCTTAGTGCAAACATTTTTCTTTTAATGATTTTTTTTTTCTGTTTTTCTTTATGTTTTAGTACTAAGTTCAGTAGAGGTGTAAACTAATATTCTCTTTTCATCCCTTAAGTTTAAATATCTGTTGCTCTTTTATAACACAGTATTACATGAACTGTTCCAGTAAAGGTTACCTCCACTAAAACATGCTTGTATCTTAAAGAAAAATCCCTTCACACATTCAGTAAATTTTAATGTAATTCCATTGCTATCTTGGGCCAACTTGTCCACACTGAGATGTGTTTTTATTCTTAAGGCTCTTCTTTAAGGAATTAATAAAATTTATGCTCCTGAAACAATTAACTAATTAGAGAAACTTAGTACAGACCCCAGAAGTACCTCAGCCATTATATACTGATCAGATTGTCTTAAAACTTTAAAAAAAAAAAACTATTCCTTATGAAATGCACTAGTGTTTCTACAAATGGTAAAGAATTTAAATTGCTGGGCTTCATTATTCCCAATCTTTCTCCCATGCTTAACTGGGAAGGTTAGTGGGTTCTGAGTTGTTCTAATAAATGAAGGCAACCAATATCCATTTGTGTTTCAAAATAAAATTTCTCATGAATGTATACTTGATTTCAGCTAATCATTTTTGAATGTCTTGTTTTCTTTAAATATTTAATTCCTAAAAGATCAGAGTCTTAAAAATAGAAGAAAAATAAATCTATACTCAGTAACTTTCTTTAACTCCATGGAGTGCATGGCATCTCCTTCATCTGATGTGTCATCTGATACATGTTTAAAAGCATTTCCAAAATTTCCATTTATTCATATTTTACAACATATGGGGAAAGAAGACAAAAAAAAAAAAAAAAACTTCCTTCCCAGGGCCGGGGTTTTAGCTCAGTGGTTCTGTGCCTGCCTCACAAGCACAAGGACCCGAGTTCGATCCCCAGTACCAAAAAAATATAAGGGGAAAAAAAAAAAAAAAAAAAAAAAAAACTTCCTTCCCAGGGCCGGGGTTTTAGCTCAGTGGTTCTGTGCCTGCCTCACAAGCACAAGGACCCGAGTTCGATCCCCAGTACCAAAAAAAAGCAAAAACAAAAACCTTCCTTCCTAAGAAAATGACATCTAATGAGATATACATTTGTGCAATTTTTCTTAATACTAAAAACATGAAAAATCCATAATAATGAGTAAGTTCTGATGCAAACTAACTAAATACATGATACATTTTAATTATCTATGAAACAGTTCCCATTGCAGGTATCAGTCATCATGCTGGCTGTGTACTCTCGGGGATGTGGTAGAGAGTATGCAGCAATGGCTGACAGGTTCCGTTGCAGGGACAGCTGCAACTAATCAGTCCAATAGCATTCTTTATCTGTCCATCAAAGACTGATCACTCATATCAGAACCTTGCCAAGAAAAATGAAACATTCATTTTGATATGTAAGCCTAAATATTTAAAAAACGAGATGAGTTAGCTTTTGACATCTCTAGGCACAGCAGACTCAGTTGAAACAGTATCGCATTCTTGTACTAAATGTATTTAATTTGGTTTGCTGCAGAACTGAAATACACCTTTGTTTAAATATAAAATTCTTTCACCTTTTTGAGGGGTGTCTTATAAAAAAATTTAGAAGGGGTGGATTTGGAAATGATCATCTAAAAGGTTAAAATCACTATAATTACTGTTGAACTGTGCAGTTGATTGTTATGTGTGATTTTAGACCCTTCCCTTTGAAGTTAACCAATTTCTACCTCTTTACCCAGGACTCAGGACAGGTTATCCCCCTTATAGTAGAAAGCTGTATTCGATTCATCAATCTCTATGGTAAGTTGCCAACTACAGAATTGTTATTTTAAGAACAATGGTGGTGAATATTTCAGTAAATATGAGTTTTCATTTAATACATAATTCTTAGTAAAAGAGATACCTAAAAAATGTGATGGGGTTTCTCCTCATTCTCTTCTGTTGACTTTAGGTCTTCAGCATCAAGGGATTTTCCGAGTGTCTGGTTCCCAGGTGGAAGTCAATGATATTAAAAATTCATTTGAGAGAGGTAATCATATGTCTTTATCTGTAAGTAAAAGAAGTCATTATTCTGTATTATGTGCAGTGGCATATTCATCCTGTATGGCCTCAAAGTCTTCGTCTTTGCATTTGCTTCATTGTGGATGCTAGAGTAACAGTCTGTTCAGAATAGCTAAAAAATAAGACCCAAATCATAAGTCTTTGTTATTAATGGTAGAAAAGCACATGAGCTTTCTATCCTGTTGAAGAATTGACAGTGATCATCCATGACACATACGTCAAGATGTCCCTGAAAGGCTTCCAAAAGACACTAGGGTGGCCCTGGCCCAGTCAGCAGGTGTATGAGCCAGCTCCTCCCTCCTGCCATTAACTCGCTCTTTTCTTCCTCTTAGTACCATTCCCAGACTACTTCCATGTGACCTAGTTGGTGCCGTATTCATGTTCATAATAGGTTGTCCATAAATACTACTCAACTTTTAATTAATATATTTTGATTAGCAAAACCATATGCTTTAGTGTTAGGAAGACCTAGAATCAAATCAGAGTCTCATTTACTAATAATGGGTTTCGAGGTGAGTGACTCAATTACTAGTTGGATCTCAGTTTCCTCATCTGCAGAATTGCAGATTATAAGGATTATACATAATCTGTGAAAATGCCTAATTCTTCTGTGATAGCTATTAGGTATAAATGCTCTCCAAATATGATAATTTGTATGGCATCCACTTGGGTGCATGTGTACCTTCCTATGTTTGGAAGTCAAGGCAAAAATGCAGGGTGGTCATCACATGGAAAAGAGCTACTTTTTCTCTCTGTTTCTCTGTTGCATTTCCCTTGGTTCTTTGTGGCATAGAACCCCCTAAAGTTTAAAGCCTTGGTTGAAGAGGTAAACTGGTTCCATATTATTTTTCCCTGTTCCACATTTTCTGACCCATTGATATTTAGAACAGAGCTGCATCCCTGTCAAGCAGCTAAGTGTGCTGCCTGTCTGACACTGACCCTATTCAGGATGAAACGTGGTGAAACATCAGTTTTTTGTGCCAGCCACTACAGGCAGAATGTTCTATTACTTTTCCTTGCAGATAGATTAGATAGATATAGATATAGATACACCCATTTTATTTTATTGTACCAGGGATCGAACTGAGGACCTTGCACTTGCAAGGCAGGCAGCGGAACCACCGAGCTAAATCCCTGGACCCCTTCCTATATTTTTTATTTGTTTACAGTATCTTTGTATATGGTTTTCTCACAACAATAATTCTTTTTTGGTAATGGGAGTCGAACTCAGTCCTTGTGCTTGTGAGGCAGGCACCAGAACCACTGAGCTAAATCCCCAGCCAGTAATTCTTATGAGTTCCTGTTAAGTGCTTTTCCACCCTAGAAGTAGGAAAAAAGGAGACAAGGGGTCTCTGCCTGTAGAGACAAGCAGTATGTTAAAATACAATGCACACTCTGAGAATTTTAGTAGACTTGTGAATAAAAAAATAGTGTTTGATTTACTGCTACGTATTATGTTGACCTTTTTAAGGATTTTATCTCAGGTTAATACTCAGAAAGGTGGAAAAGCCAGTGTAGTTACCTAGTATTTTAAAACTGCCACAAAAAATATAATTTTATATTGGTGATACTTTTTTTTTTTGGTACTGGGTATCAAACTCAGGACCTTGTACTTAAGAGGAAGGCCCTAGAACCAGTGAGCTAAATCCCTAGCCCCTGGTGATACTTTTTTTTTATTTTTTTTTTTTGGTCTTTTGGCTTTTTGAGACAGGGTCTCACTATGTAGTTGAGACTGATCTGGAACTCACTATGTAGCTCAGGCTGGTCTCAACTCACAGCAATCCTCCTGCCTCAGCCTCCCAAGTGCTGGGATTACAGGCATGCGCCACCACGCCCGGCTCAGTGATAACATTTTTTAATATCCACTTTTCATACAAATGCCTTGATACCACTAAGGGTACATTTTCAAATTCCTCCACCTTATTTCAGAAATTCCCACTGTTCAGGTGGCTTTTAAATGTGCTGAGAATACTACCATGCTACTTTGGGAAACACCTGTTATTTAATTGTAGGCATTCAGAATTAATATTTGATATTTTTTATATATGTTGCTGACCCATATAGCGTAGTATGACTGTCTTTTTCCCAGTAGGATAAGACATAGTAGTTTTTGATGTTATGAATGTAGTTAAGAACGTAGTTTTTGATGTTATGTCAAACTAGTACCAATTTTACTGTTAAAACATGTTTGGTTAAATTATAAATACCACAATATTTTATTTTAAGATTTTGGCAACTTGAAAGGGAGTATTTGGTAGCATCAGATTTTTTTTAAAGCTTTATTTTAGCTAACTATTTTTAGGTTAATCATGGGGTGGGATATCTAAACCAATTATTTTAATTTTAGTACCATATAATCTTTCATATAGCATAATTAAAAGATTTCATGTATATATAGGAATATCAATGTGTGTGTGTGTGTGTGTGTGTGTGTGGTGTGTATAGAAATGTATTCTTGTTGAGGGGGAAAAAAAGAGAAGCACTATGTATCTAACTGATTTTTTTATAGGTGAAAATCCTCTTGCTGATGACCAGAGTAACCATGATATTAATTCAGTGGCTGGCGTTCTGAAGCTCTATTTCCGTGGACTGGAAAACCCCCTCTTTCCTAAGGAAAGATTTAATGATCTGATTTCTTGTATCAGTAAGTAGATTCTTTTTTTCTTAGTCTTTTCCACCAGAATTATTTCACTAACCAACTTCCTGGAAAAGATAGTCCTCCTCCACATACCCCTCCATTAACCCATTACCACCATATTTTTGGGGCCATTTGTTTACTTTCTGGATCCAGCATGAGTCACTCTTCCAGCTGTGGCCTCACCCGTAGCTCAGTGGACTTTGCTTCAGGGCTGAACATCTTCAGGCTCCATAGAACCAAGAGCTGACCGCTTAGTTGCCAGAATAAAGCATAAAATCAGGTGTCGGCTGCCTAAGGGAGAAGAGAAAGTTGTAACATGGAAATAGAGTCATTTTTGGCTTTTTTTTTTTTTCTGTCTTAACCAGTGTTAGAAACAAACTTAAGTTACTCCTTTTTGAATGTTACTTAGAGAAATAAAGTAAAATGGGATAAGAGTTCATCACTAGGATACAGGAATACCAGGTATTGGTACTGCAGTACTGCAGTTGGATGTCAACAGGCATTCCCAGCTCATCGGCAGAGTTGCTCTGGGACTGTATATGATAATGACAAAACCAATAATTATTAGCCAAGTGAAGCATTACTGTTTTCTTCAGTGGAGGTCTTACAGCAGTACACAAAAGAACATACCAAAAATGAATTATTAAGCACGATTAGGTTCTGTGACTGTAAAATTTGAAACCTGTTTCAGTATTTCCCACACTCCTTGGTATGGCCAGTTCACAGAACGGAATTTCTTCTCCATCTGATCTTTTTCTCCGTCTGATGTCTTCTTGCTGCTATGCAACCATCTCCTGCCTCCCCTATCCTATTTCTTGGTAATGTTGAAATATATAGGGCAGTATATATAACAGAGTGCACATGCACCAGGCCTCCTCCTACCTCTGTGCCTCTGCCCAGGCTATTTTCTCTACTGCCTAATGGTCATTGACATCTGCTGTAAAGGCTTAGCTGAAATGGCACTTCCCCCAGAGCACCCGTCCTCCCTACAACCCCAAGTGAATTAATCACTTTCTCCTCTGCAAGCATTCCACTGTGTTCACATATCTTTAATTTTTCTTATTACCCTACATTATATTTATTTACTCCTTCTGTCTCCTTCCACTAGAGGGGGAGTTTAGGGAAGAGGTCAAGAACACAGGTTCTGGACTAAGACAGCTCATGTCAAACCATAGCTCTACCACTTGCACACACTTGTGACTATGGGCAAGCTTATTAAACTCTGTGCTTTAATGTCCTAATTGATAAAATAAGCAGAACCTTAGTCTGTTCATCATAGGATTGTGAGAACTAAATGAATTAATACATGTAAGGTATCAGGAATGGTCCCTGGTATGGATCATGCTCAATAACATGCCACAGTTAGCTGGGAGATCCCGATGACTTCCTCAGTTTCATAGCCCTAACGTTTGGCACAGCTAATTCCAGGTGCATAGTAAATGCTCAGTGCGTAATTGTTAAATAGCATACAAATGAAGTGAAGACTCGGGATTCTACCAAAAGTTCTTTTGATAGCATCTGCGCCTAAAGTCCTTTGGTTGGTTTCAGTTCAACAGTTATAATTCTCTCTCCTCCATCAGATAACCTGTGTGGAATGTAGAAGTACGCCTGCATGTCCATTCCAAGGTTCTTGCGTAGCCTGTCCTCACAGCAGACCTCTGACTTAACTGGAAAGGACTGTAAAGGGGGTTTTGTGCTTGTAGAATTCTCCTTTGGCCATGTCCAGAGTTCCCTCACATCCTAGCCAGATGAGTTAGGTCTGGAAAAATAAGTACTCTACAACACTTAGTGGTTTTCTAGGTCTATGTCAACTTTAATGTTTACAGGTAGTACCAGTTGGATAAAAAACACTGGGTCACATTGTCAGTTACTATAAGAGAATCATTTCACACTTTCATGAATTAGAAACACTATTTCATTGTGATTATAAATTATTGAGGCCATAGGATCAGAAATATTTAGGTTCAAATCCTAGCTTTACCAGCTCTGTAAATTTGGGCAAAGATTAATACTTAATCTCATTACATAGCTGTTTCTTCATTTACTTCATAGAGTCTGTGTGAAGAAAAAGTGAGATAATCCACTTAAAAGTGTTTAATAACATGCCCCTCAATAAATGCTGCTGTCATTATTACTACTATTACAGTTGTTCCTACTGCAAACTCACGCCACACATGCTAATACCTGGTTTAACTACTTAGCAAATCTATCTATTCTGACAAATATGTATTTGACACAATTATATCAGCTGCATTTAGAAATGATGGTGCTGTAGCCCAGAAGTTGTATTTGTCCCAACATGATTTTTTCCAATACACTGAATATTTTGTAACAAAGTCAAGCTTTCTCACAATTAAAGTCTTTAGCAAAATGTGTAGACCATAGGAGAAAACAGAAAATATACACAGATATCATCCATGGAGGTGGTGCCTAAGATACTGCAAGTACAGATAAAGAAGCTCCCAAAACATTCTCCTCTTTATCAAAACAATAGAGTAATACAAATCAATGAATTAATAAGTTTTTCAATTCATTTGGGTGAAATTAGTCTGAAGAAATTAATGCCCTTAAAAAAAGGAATTCAAAAATTAAGATTAAAAAATTATTGCCCTGCAGAATCTATATCTTACAAGTAGGAGCCCTGAAGTTCGAGGCTACAAAGAAACTGTACAAGATTTAACTATGCTGGCATTTTTCATAGGATATTAATGTTTCTGTTAGTACTCTAGTTCCAAAATTTCATAGGTGCTAAGCAACTTATGTTAACCCTATTTTTTCCTATAAGTCTTATTTTATGTGCAGATAGAATGGATTTTTCAAAACACTACGGCACTAACAACCTGTTTGTATAATACCTCCTTCATATAATGAACCCTTTTCTTCTAAACTCTAACCTCTGTAAAAAGACATGATTACTATTACTGATTTATCTCAAGGCAAGCATTTGCTTATACCAACATGACAATAATGTATTTGCATTTTTCCTAGTTCTCACTGTTCTTTGCAAATGGCATAATATATCACTTATCACTGTATCCCTTCACTGATACTACATATGAAATCATTTTGATGGTTGAATCTAGTTGATAGATTGCCTGCAATATGCAAAACATTCTGAAGATTTGAAGACTTGGTTCTTGCTTTTAGGAGGCTTAAAAGCAGGAGGAAACAGAAAATATTTGTTAATAAAGGCAGTCTGAGTTAGTATATGATAGAAACACCAAGAATTAGAAATTTTAGTGGAGAGAGATCTCAGAGTGATAGATTGTTTTTACCCATGCCATCTTGTAGCATTGTCATAATTGGGTCTGATTTTCCCTGTTAAGGTACTTTCATGTGACAGTTACTTTGTATTGAAAAACAACTTCCCTTTTCATTTTTTTCCAGAGGGTTACATAAGTCCCTGTAGCACCCACTGCTTCTTGCTTTCCTATTCTTGCATTATTTGAGGGAAAGGGGGTATGTGTGTGTATGTTGAGTTATCCTGCCATGCTGTGCCCCTAAATAAACCCATTCTTTGGAAACTTACATTCCTGCCTTTAATTATATATATTTGTAAGTTTTGTATCTTAACATTTATTTTTAAAATGGACAATATCCATTCCTCAATTCACCGCAAATTTACTTTAAAAGATCCAGATAAATATCTGGATGAAAACAGTAGAATAAAGTGCAGTGTAAATTGGCAGTGAAAAATTTAGTAGTTTCTCACCCAACAGTTGTTCTATTTCTTGTTCTTTGTTTTTGGGGGTTTTTTTGCGGGGGCGTTGAGACAGGGTCTCACTATGTAGTTGAGACTGACCTGGAACTCACTCTGTAGCCCAGGCTGGTCTCAAACTCACAGCGATCCTCCTGCCTCAGCCACCCAAGTGCTGGGATTACAGGCGTGCTCCACCACGCCCAGCTCTTGTTTTGGGGCTTTTTAACCACCCACTTTATGAATGGTTTTGTAAGTGCTCCAGGTCATACCCACAAAGTCTGGGCAGTTTCCAACACATCCAGCTCTAAGATTCCCTAAGGCATAAGTCCAAGTAATTACTCAAGTAATGCATGGTTTTTCCTAGCTTCCTCAGAGCTGTGAGCCCAGATGAAACATTTGCCCTTCATTTTGCATAACATGTTATTATTTAGGTGACTAGTTAGACATAAGAAAACTTTTTTATAGATTTTTTTTTTTCCTGACACAAAACCAACCTTCAAGTCATGGTAGAGTACTTGAAAAACACACCAAAGCACATGGGATAGAATACTGCCTTTCATAATGTTACTACCTAAAGAGAACCAGTGGTGCATTAGCTATATTTCCTTCTAGGCTGTTTTTATATTCATATGCACACAACTTTTTTTGAAGCCAACGTGGAACTGTACTATCCATGCTGTTTGTAATATGCTTTCTTTTTAACTTCATATTAGAGAAGATACCTATAAAAGAAGACAGAATAATATGATGAACTCCATAGGATCAGTCACCCCCCTTTAAGAGTTTTCATTTCTTGGTTTCACTTGCTCCATCAGAACCCTGTGCCATCTCTCTGACATCGATATCATTGATGTCTCAGCAAATGAAGGGATCTTGGGGGTTTTTTCTCTGTCACATTTGGTATCATAAAGCAATCTGTATTCATGGTAAAATACTTGAAAAACATGCAAAAGCACATAGAACAAAATACTATTACCCATCATTCCCCCACCCAAAGAGAAATACTATTATTATACCTTAAAACATAAACTTGTATTGATAAAATAAGTACATTTAAAAATAATTGTTTTATTATGAAATTAATGTGATCAATATAAAAAAATTACAAACAGAACAAATCATCCATAATTCTTCAGTGAATTCAGAGGTCTTTAGTACAATTCAGAGGTTTTTAATCTATTTATGGGATTATGCTACTACCTCCCAATCAAATTTAGAACATTTTTATTGTCCTCAAAGAATTTCTAGTTAGCAATTAGTAATCACTTTCCATTGACCTATAACTATCACCACCCCTAGCCCTACG